TTTGAAATATCACTTTACGTGTCATGTTTGTGTCGCATTGTCATTTATAAGAAATATCACTTGTCTGAAACGCCCTATATTGCCATTACCACACAAAATAGCAGCGTAAAATGAATGAATGATTTATTCATCACACATTATGCAAAGAAAACGAAAATACATTAGGCTGCAGCAATGATAGGTCATCCGACTCAGTATGATGCTGCATCAGTGCTGCCTCAGGCACAGTGTGCTTATATTGTCGATGCTTCATAGAATAATAATTAAAAACAATTTAATGATGCCGTGTTTCACATGGTGAGTGTAAAGAATCTTTTTACTACTGGAAACGAGGCGTTTCATATTAAACCTCGGGGGACAAGTGTAGATGTAGATATTTATGGGCCACAGCATTATTACTTACATACTTACATAGTATTAACTTGTGGACTATGTTCTTGCTTTATTCTATAAAAAATGAGACAGTATTTTGACCGATCGGTGAAATAGTGATGCTATGTCAATCTTATAGAAATCTTACCGATATTGATACCGATCATCCAATTTTATTTTAAAATCGTTTCGCATTTTATACAGTATTAAAATTGCTATTCATTTTGCGATAATGCCTTATAATAAATTCGTGTCAGCCTAACAAACGTCCACCGTTGAACGTAGGCATCAGCCACAAACTGACAATATGTACCGTAGGTATCATCACCATTTAATTCACGTTAACAATAACCTATTAGTAACAAACGACCGTCGTATTTGAACGTGATTACTAATGAAAAAATGTCACATTGTTACAAATTGTATCAATAAATCAAGCAATTGTCACGGTATTAATATCGGTAAAACATGGACCAGAACAATGCAGAACTTGGATTGCCTTTGTCCTGAGATGTATCAAAGTGGCATAAAAGTTGTGGCTTATAGAAATCTACATCTATCCTAGATGAAGGATCATATTGTATTTACAGAGGGGATATAATTTAATGTTTTAAGCTCATTTATCTGATAACCCGTTAGTTTTAATTTCAAATTTATTTACTTTTACTGTACAATTTTTAAAAAAAGAAAAAAAAACGATTAAAGGCAAACTTTATTTAAATTAGGTAAAGCAATAATGAATGTTAAGATCAATTCCGGTTCGATATTTTTATGTATAATATTTAAAACATATTAAGTAATATTGAAGCAAATGAAGCGTAAGCACTAATTGACGTCACTTAAATATAGCTTCACCCTCTAAATATATGTCAAGTGGACAACGAGTAGCAGGCCGTTAATGTAGATAAGTTGTCGCTTGCCTCAAGGACAGGGTCGTTGGCGAAGCCTGTCAGTCAAATCCGCGCAAACTTAAGTTTTTAATGATATTTGATTTACGTAACAGTAAGACTTGTCGGGCATTTATAACAAAATTAACCCAAATATTTCTTTGAGCTTTATATTAAAAAAGGGGCTTAGTGCGTCTTATTTTTAATCGATGTTGAAAGATAAATAATGTTCGTAGAGCAAAATCTGACAGGGTGAGAAACACTTATTCGACAGGCTTGTCGATAAAATAAAAAGTAAAATTATTTATTTTCTGTTTGCATTGCTGGCTATTCTGCCCGCCCTGCGGAATGTTATTAATATCAGTCGGATCCCTGTTCTTCTAATTCTAAATGGACACTATTTACTCCACGTGATAAACGTAGCATTCCTTCGATTTATTTTCCTTTTAATAATGTAGTAATTAACTTTGGTCGTGGTATACTTGGTTTATGCGAATTCTAATTGAATCCTGTTTGATTACTTCGAACATTAATTGCACGATTTGTTACTTAATGCTATCTATAACTTAGAGCCGTGCTATTAAGTAATTGTGTGTTAATATTAAGCGCTCACCTTGAAAGTAGATATACGAGAGCAAACATAGTTCGATCATCGCCGATACGTATGTAATCATTAGTTGCAATTTAACTGCAAATTTGTAACCGTTCTCTAATTCGGGTAAAAGATTTCAGGAGACAAGTGAAGTCCGGTAGCATACATGGGACAGAGCTGTGAACTTCTGCCAACTTCTAAACCTTTTAAAACCAAGAGGAAACCCTATATTACTTTGACTAAACTAACAAGTCATGAGCAAGCACTGGGTTATTTAATATGACATAAACCTGGAAAAAAATACTTCTTTATTCCTTTTGATTTTCATTTAAAAATCTAAAAATAAATGATGTAACTATTACACAACATATTTCCAATATTATCTATCTATTGTTACAAAACTTAGAAATAATTATACAGAGAAAAGAAGCATCTAAATTAAAAAAATGGATTTGCAGACCATCAAAAATGAATTGTTTATTTATAAATTTAATCCCGATTCGTTTATCATTTGTACTATCATAATGGTAAGTTGCTATATTCTCGTAGATTTCGTCAAAAGTACATATTGGAATGGTTCCGCCATCCTGAATTTAGACCAAGTTACCTAATTTAGATAACTTAATTTTGTCTCTTTAATATTGACTGTTTGCTTCATATAAATGTTAACTCTAAGAATAACTCAAAGCCATATTTATATAGTGTATAGTTCATATAAGAACTTACTAACTTCTCATGTACATAAATTAAGCGAACACACATGTAACACATTTTATTCCCGTGAGCATGGATACCGCAAATTTCCCAAATGTCGGAGCTACAGAAGAAGTTAAAAGCAAACACGATAAAATCCGTAGAGCTAATTTTGTAAAAGATGACAAATAATGAAAGAAAGATTATTTGTAATCATTATAATTTTAGTACTATAAGTGCGACTTAAAAACAGTTATTTATTGGGGCACGGCAGTGTCTCCGCCAAGTCGAGCAAAAAAGCGGCACTGCCGTACCATCCTTTTCTCTAAGTAATTCAGGCCGTTTTTGACCCCCCGATAACTTCGTTGTGGATAAAACTAGAAACCTGAATTTTCAGTAACCAAGCTGACATTGTTTAAACACGGTATATTTCAAATTTCGTTCAATTTGAACTATTAGTTTAAGAATTATAACTAGTCCAAGTTTCTTAATTTTGTCACTCACTGACTGACTGACCGATCATCAAAACTCTAAGGCACATCTAGCAGACGTAGAAGCTTCAAATTTGTCTCGCAACTCAGTTTATCTACCGTAAAAATTTGTGAGATCCATGTTATACCAAGTCGGTTAATTTGTTCAGTTCCTACTTAAGGGGTTCTAGCTGACCTAACAACATTTTATAGTGGCCATATCAATATTAAGAATCGTTTATGTTTCAAATAAATATATTGACTTGGTAATCGCAATAAACAATCTAATTTAATATAATATGTATTACTCGTGAGATATATTGTGTTTTCATGCGATAGTCAAGTCTATTTATTTAAAACATAAAAGATTTTTTATACTGATATGGCCACTAAAAGATGTTATTAGGTCAGCTAATTACGTAATAACTTAAGATAGAAGAGCCCTTAAGTAGGGACTGAATAAATTAACCGACTTGGTATTACATGAATCTCACAACTTTTTACGGTAGAAGAACTGAGTTGCGAGACTTAGTTTTTTTACAAGTTATGTTTTTGATGGCATCAAAAATATTACACGAATATAATGGGTATATATTATAATGTGTGTAAGCAATAGCGAAAGAATATATGATGAGAAACATTTGTATAATTGGTTAAAGTTTGAATGGTTTTATGACTTAAAAGATAGTTATTAGGACTATTTTTTACATTTAATTAATTAATTAATATTGTCATTACATAATCATTTTAAAATTATAATTTGATTGCATCTCTAACCGAAACACTACTTCACTATATAAATTGTAACATCGTTTTATAGCGTGATTCTTCAAATAAGATTTATGGTTTATTATGATTTATGATTGGATACAGGTTGCACCCTTAATCTGATTACCACGCCGATCGGCATATTTTAATAATATAACGTCATGGGTGCTTGGTATGAATCATTACAAAAAAACAGTTATTAATCGGTTTGATTAATATAATAATGAAACGATTTCTTTCTTCCATGTGCTACAAATATTATTGTACATGTATCACACATAGTATATATATATATATATATATATATATATATATATATATATATATAAATAGACATAGTGTATATAAGTGTACCTACTACGAAATTTATTTTTAGTAGCTGGTGACGCAATAGAAAAGTACTTGTGCCTTACATTTTTTTTATAGAATAAGATAACAAACGAGGACACAGTCCACGTGATGATAAGTGGATACTGTGGCCCATAGATATATACATTTATCTTCAAATAAAAATCAAAATGCAGATGCGTTGTTACCCTTGAGAACTAAGTAAAAAGGATCTCCGGTTCTCTACACTCACCATACGAAACAGCAGCATTGAGCTGCTATTTTACGTTGATATTCTGTGAGAGCGTGGTCCTGCCCCGGTCGAGCCGACCCATTCGCGATAGAATTGTAGTATAATTACAGCGTGACACTACCATGTAAGAAACCACGTTTAACAGTATTCACGTTAGATCTCCAACCCCCCCCCTAAATGTAAGTTTCAGTTTTCTACGTGCTCGACGGTAAAAGAAAACAACAATCAAAATTCGACCAATTCTGCACAGGAGCAGCGTGGTACTTAAAATATAATCAAACGATATATTTTATCCAAAATTTTATCGAATTGAATTTATTACGTGGTGAAAAAAATACTTTTGATTTTGAAAAGTGGTTTGAACTAACTAGTTAAAAGTATGTTATGTATCCGTACAAATTCGATTAGGAATGCTAATATGTTACAGATATTAGACAACGTTTTCTTATTAACTATAACTAACTATAATACGCATTTAAAGTTGCAACGTTCCCGTTGCCAGTATAAGTGCGTAAAAAGCATGTCAGTTGCGTGAATTGTAACGTCTTGTTTGTTAGCTTCATTATTTTATTATTATTACACATTTTCACAGACTAATAAAAAGTTCAGTATGTATACTACACATGTAGGTGACCGACCTGACTATTGCATCACGTTGCGCTAGGAACTTGTAGCGAAGGCGGAAGCCGAACGGTTCTCCGAGCCGTGCACGGAACAGTTTAACTGAAACGGTAACGGTCGCCGTCTCGCTGTAGTAGAGCGCGGCGCCGTCCGCCGAGCCGCACCACGATCCGCCGGTGAAGGGGCGGCCTAGCTCCGACAGCTGCATGTAGCCGTCGGGGCAGCCATCCAGCGCACCCGCCTCGTAGCGTCCCACGCGGAACTCGTCGAAAGCGAGCTGCACGAGGTCACCGTGCGCGCCACCGCCCGCCGTGAACGTGAGGTGGCACAGGAAGGGCGCTCGCGGCGCGCCACGCAGCATGACGCCGTACGCCACGCCGGCGCGGCCGTAGTACGTGCGGTTGCAGACGCTGCAGCCGGGTGGCTCGTCGCTGCCGTCCGCGCACTGCGGCTCGCCATCACAGTAAGCGTCCAGGCGCACGCAGGCGCCGCCGCGACACGCGAACTCCGCCACGCCGCACCCGCCGGCCGCGCCGCGCGCACCCAGCGCCAGCAGCACCAGCAGCGCCCGCGCCGCTCGCCCGGCGCCTGCTCGCTGCATGTCGCCCGCACGCGCGCCGCTCGCACACCGCGGACCCGCACGCACGTCCGCGGCCTCGCTCGCATTGGCACCGCACCTCGCACTAACGCGCTGATGCTCGCGCGCGCTCGAGCGACGCGGAGCTGCGGGAGCCGGGACTCGGTCGTGCCGTGACGTAACGCCGCGTCACACTGCAGGCAGGGAGCTCGGGCCGGCCGCGCGGCTGACGCGCCGGCGCGCTCTCGCTTCGTGTTGCAGGGGCGGGGGGTGGAGGCGCGGAGGTGCGGCCAGACGGCCGTGTCGCGCCACTCGCTGCGATTGATCGTGCCGTGTCGCGCTGGACCGGCGGCTGCTGACACTGTACTGCCTACTTGCTACTTGACACGCACTCACCATTCCACAATGTCACTATTAAAAACAACAACAATTCTAATGAAATTGTAAATGTAAAAGCCAGTTCTATATTTTTCTCACATTCCGAGCAACGGCAACAAAATTAATAAAAATTAATGTAAGCCACTATCTAAAATTATTAAATGCAAATTATCAACACACCTGTATTTATTTTTATTTTAACTGTAGACAAGATTCACAAAGTTGTTGTGTGGTTGACTTGATGTTAGATCAAGTAAACAACATAATACATGCTTAATTTAACACAAGATTCTACTATTTATTCTACTATCTGCTATGCAAATAAAATATTGCATTTACTTTTAATTTATATAACGATCTACAAATTATTGATCACTTAGATGTTTTTACATATTTGTCAATAAGTATAGAAACAAAAGCGAGTCAAAAATATTTACACCAAAATTTTTCTTTATGTTGGTAAAGTTTAACAATAAAATATACGTAAAAGATACAAATATTTAAACTTTATTGGATTTAAATAGATTTCAGTTTTCTATCAAATAATAGACTTCCATAATCGGAGATTTTATGTCGTATTTTACGCGGCTCATAATCTTATTATTTATTTATTACGCTCAAAATCTTAACTTGTTTTTGTGATCAGAATCCTTTGCCCCATATTGTCACGTACGTGTCGTAAAAATTTAAGGCTTCCAAAATATATCGATATATGTACCATCTCTTACGTCAGCACGCTAGATGCAATATACTCGTAACCAGACCCACAGGTCAACGTTAAAGATGAGAAATATCTGGTACTGTGATCTTCAATTCTTCTTCCAAGAGCGACGACCGTTACAAATCTTCTCCACCACGAGGGAATTTAATATCTAGCAATGGATTTTCAAGAGTTGATGAAGAATATAATCTTTAAGGAAAGAAAAAAAAACGTTTCCTTTCTCAAAAGTTAATATTGGATGTATTACCTTTTAACCGAGCGGTAAGCTTACTTAAACTAGTTTGTAAAGGAATTAGTATCAGGCGTATAAAGGATGTATGTAATATTATAATATAAAGGAACCGGGAATAATTATATTTCAATGCTGAATTATTTATTCATAGTTCAATACTTCTTAGTCTAGTTTATCGATAATAAATAACGCTAATTAGCATAGTAAGTTATCTAACAGGAAAATGTGTAAAACTAAAAATATAAAGTTCAGTAAAAAGAACAACTACGAGTAGTTTCATATTTTCGTAAAGTTGTGTGATTCTATTAATATTATGTTATAGTATAGGTCTCAATTTATGTCTGACTTTTGCCACTTCAGGTTTTCACAAAGATTTAAATTTTAATTGAACATGATGATGCAAGAAGAATAAATGTTAAATAATTTCTAATAAAACAGAGAATAAACAATTTTATAATCATGAGTCTTGTGTTATTTGTATTCCTAATATTATGTATATTAGCCTTTAAAATATTTAACAAGCTTTGCTTTACTTTACTTTTTTTACTAAGTTTGAAAATTTTATTTTAAAACTTTATACCTATAAGATAGTATAGACCGATTCTACAATTACACAGACATTTCATTTCCAATTTAATTTCGGAGTTGTTATATATGACCCGATCATGGACTCAACTTGGTTCATTCGTGTTAATGATGCGGCACTCAAAATCCACAACCTGTAATATTAAATCATGCCATTGAGCTATTGAGACTCAATACCTCAACCGTCAAGGGTTGACTACAATCTGAAAGGTTGTAGGATCTTTAACCCGGACGACAACAGTCTCATGAGACCACCTGTAAGACTACTGTGGCACATATTTCTAACACAAGCATTACGCTTAATTCTGGGGGAAATGGGAATATTTGATCAATATTCTACTCTTTGTTTAAAAAATTAACTTGATAATAATCATCTTATTTTTAGAAGGTTTTTTAAAAACTCTATAAATAGTTTGTCGTTAACAGTTTAACTTTTATTATTGACAGGCTTTTTCTTGTACTGAACCCCAGTTAGGAATGGTGTGCGAAATATACCAACACGGGTGCAGTCAATCGCCCCAAGAATATCTGGCAGACCATGCTCTGCTAGGCATCCCCTAGCTACATTCTGCCTTGCTTGTTATACACTCGGAAATGATATTCACTTCGGTATTCCTTCCTTCGGAGTTAGTTCCTGATATAAATTACATCCTCAATATAATATATCTCATACTTAAATTAAAAACATACATACTCCTGAAGAAAGTATAATACCTAAGCATATTCCCTTTTAATAATTAAACCTGTTTTTTATCTTTACATTTTTCTTATAATTTGCATTGTATTGATCGGATGATATTTGTACTCCAAATTAACCCAAAATTGCACGACTCAATTTATGAATGTTATGTACACTTGTTATGGATATACATATCACAGAGTATAGAAATGTGTATGTTTTCGTGATTGTCATATATGTGTATTGTAAATGTACTTGTTAAATAAATACACAGAACATCATCCTGATTCAGCAATCTGTCCCACTGGGATTATGATATAATTATGAGTAATTGGAGACTTACATCATTTTTAGTGGAATGTGAGCGAAACTGAGGGGCAAGGGAATTATTTGTAAGGACATATAAGACAAATGTCTACAATATAGGTATTGGGCGGGGCATCCTACATGCCCCCACCTCGCAATTTGCATTAAGTATGTTCAGATTAATAACAAATGTATAGATTTTAAGTCATCTTTAATGGGATTGACATGTTAACGAACTGTAATGTGGGGAGATTCAGGGAATAAATGATAATACGTCTAGTGGTCTTGACTATAGGTTTATTACTAACTCTCTCTTATTCTATCCTACATATATATAAGCACATCTACACGCCCATCAGCAAAAAGAAAAAAAAATCATTCACAAAAATATTTTTTTAATGTAACATAACTTGGTGTATAAAAAAATTGTACATTATTTTAAAATATTAAAATTCTTATACCTACTATAAATCATATTTATAACATAATAAAATAAAAATAAAATATCGTAACACCGTAATTTTAAAAAAATAACTTTCTATCTCTGTATTTAAATTTATTAAACAATCATCAAATTCCTTACGTAATTGTATTGAATCTTTAAGTTTTTGTTGTGAAATAATTTTAGTTCGCCTATCATTACTGCATAACTTTTAAAAATTTTATATATAACTATTAATTCACTTGACTGAAAATACAGTTTTTAAAACAAAATAGTTATCAAAAATATTATAAGATGTTTACAATTTTTTATTATATTTTTAAACTTAAACTATATTATTCATTTTAAATCTTAACAAGTCTAAAAGAAGCTAATGCCATTGAAATAGTGTCCTTACTTTTAAGTGGATACACTTCAGAATACTTATTTAAATCACACTGTAGTGTGAGTGTATAAACACTATTAAAACTATTCCTACATTAGGGCCCAACTAAATCTAAATAAACTATGAATAGTGGAATATCCTATAAATCGGTTATAACCATTGGCACATATATCTTTATTAATTGTTTATGTCGCAACACTTGTCACATCGATTTGCATAATTATTTTTTAATTAGTAGGATGTTACTAATTATGTATGTAGTATCTAACTCTGTTCAAAAGAATCTTTTCTTTGCATTACATATAGACCGTTAATTGGCAAAAATGATGAAGTCGTTTAATATTACACGTTTTGTTTCACGGCGGTCCTAGTGCAACATAATCAGATTCATTAACATAACAACAAGGATCAAATACAACTTACAATCTCAGCCGCGTAAGCGGTTTGTGACACCTTTGTTTTAATTTCTAAATGATGAACATCATGGGAACGTTTTTTCGATTACGTGCACGATGCATTAAAATGATATCGTAAATAAAATGAATTTAACGTTCCCAATAGTTTGTACC